CCTAACCACCATTTCAATTTTTCGGGAAATTCAGGAAACCTGCAATTTGATAGTCAGATTCTTCCGCAATAAGTTAAACGATAAGACAGATTAGGAAGATCTACAGATATAAATCAACAACAATTCTAAATACATTAAAAAAGAAATGCATTTAGCATTTATTAAACTATATTCCACTGCGTGTCCCATATCCCCACCCATAAAGCCCTATAACCACCGTCTTCGTAGGAGAACATGCAGGGAGTAAGAATTAATTAGTGGGCCTACAAAGGCTGCTGTTGCCCACATGTGATCATAATATTAGAAGTTGGCATATCAAAAGAAGCCGACGACGTAACGATTCCAAGAGTGACTTTTATCACAGAGGTTGTAAAGTCCTGGCAAAACAATTATTATACGAAAAGTGAGTTGGATGCATATCGCGCTTGGATTATCGCTGAGTCTGACCGATTTTGCTGACGGTGGTGAAAATCGGTGACCCTCACGTTTTACACGCCCCTTCTCTCGAGAAGGATCGCAAGGTCACATATTTTTTCACCCAAAGTAACCTGCAATTATCACCTTGGCACACAAACTCACAACGGTACCAAAACAGAAAATGTGGTTCGTTCACGAAGCCTGGATGAGGCGTGTGGCCACAACCATGGTACGGCTAGCTATTGTACTCTGACGTAATTCTCCTTCGCAGTGCTTTTCCACGTAATTGCGTTCTCCAGGATTGTACTCACGCCTGTGCATAACAGCCAACTTCTTCAGATGGAAGATAGAGGTGTTCGACCCGAGACGGACAGCCAGCATTGCTGCCCGACTTCTTTGTACTAGTTGCCTGTTTGAATCACGTCGATGTCACAAATTTGTTGCTTCTAAGCAGTAGGTGCATTCATATCACTACAATCATCCTCTAGCACGAACAGCTGCGGCGTCCAGGCCGGGGGTCACTGCGAGAGATCTGCCTAGAGTATCGGAGACATCTTTATCACACACACCCAGTAAGCATCGCCATTAACTAAAGTGGCTAGACCCCTCATTCCGGTCACTTAGAAGGGGGGGGGATATAAACCACTTAATGAGTACCCGTGTATAGTTTTTGATTACAAAAAGCTCTTCGCAGTGCTAGAGGAGGCGTTCAAGGCAGCAATTAAGTAGTTACCATTGGACCAATGGGGACATAAACTTCGGACGAAGCCCAGGCATTGTGCACTGGGCTGTCCGGCCTGTTCATGGATAGCCAAAATCAATCCCCTCCCCGATGAAATGAATATCCACTAAACCCCTATTTCCTTCGCCAGCCTCTTCGAAAGATATCCCGATAGATGTAAGTTTTGTTTTTTTGACAGAGACGCTAGTATTTGCTCGTCAGTAGCTGCATACAACCAAGCAAGTATCTTCAAATTACCAAAAACACCGATGCTGTTCGAACTGGGATCCTCCGAGATCCGGTTCTCGGTGGGAGTGGGAGGAGGAAGAGGAGAGGAATCTGTGGGAGACTCGGAAACGGGGGCCTTATCAGGCGAGGCGCAGGACTCTCTCAAAAGTGTCTTGGCCTTGGCGACCAGTTGATCATATCTCTCTGATGCCCTGGCCTGTTTGAAAACATAAAGGGAGCATTCACTTAGTCCAGTGGGGATCATCCGTTAGAAACACTAAAGTTTGGTATTAAAAACTTGCCGGCAAGGGTCAAATGTGTAAGTGCACTGAGAACATAGAACACAGGGACTCCAGTAAAACAAAAGGGGTGATAATGCTTGTTTTGTCAGTGAGGTAGATGAGCGAGGCAATTAAGTAAGTCTGCTGAAGGCATTGAGCCTACTCGTATTCCTGGTTTATGTTTGTTTTATTACTCCAACGAAATGAAGCGGAACATACGCGCAGCATGAAATATGAGTGTTAACCAGCAAAAAACACACAATCCAAGGCTATTGTCTAACGAAGGTTGAACTGGACAGCATGGTAGGCCAACTTCACCTTACTCTAATCAAACTTCCTAATATTAACTAGAAATGTAACATTAATATAGCATGCCTACCTAAATCAAATAAGTAGATCAGCCATAGTAATTAAAACAAACGACAGGCATGCTCATCCGGCTTCAACATTAAAAAGCGAAGGGAGATAACTTACGTCAGATAACG